ATCTTGTTCAACTCTCAGAGAGGATCTTGTCCACTTCATCCGCTCCCGTGCAGATCTACAACATTGAAATCGGGCCATTATATTCCCTGTTAACTTCTTGTTAGCCTTTTAGCTTCAAGGTTAGCTCTGACTCACCGCGATGGTTTCAAGATCCGAAATGTTCACAATAAATCAGGTCCGTTTCTCCAAGGTCCATGCAGATCTCCGGTATGGATATTTGCTCAATTTATCAAGTTAATAGTTATCTTCCAGCGAAAAGCTTGGCGGTGAAAATCAGCGATGGTCTCGTGCACCTCCGTCTCTCTCTGTGTCTGAGCACGTGACGGTACAGAGCAGGGGAAGGCGGGGCTTGTTCCTTCCTAACCAGTAGGGGTGTTAAATATACTCTTTGGGTTTTATTCTTATATTTATAGTATTTATCTTTTATTATTGATTATTGATTATTGATTTATTTTTGACCAACCAAGTCGTGTAAACTCACTGGGTTACAGAAATTCCACAGACAAATCTGGGTTTGGTGGTTCCCAGGTAAATGCTACTTGTCTGATTGCATTGCAGCAAGTGTAAAGTTTGGTGTGAGCCAGGATTTCTCATCCTAATAAATCTGCTTCTGGAAGAATGGCCAAAACTTCCCATAAACACACTCCTAAACCTTGTGGATAGCTTTCCCTGAAGATTTGTAGGGTGGACCTGCTTCATATTAAACCTTATAGTTTGAAGAATGCGATGTCACTCGAGTTAGGGGTTTACAGAGAATACTTTTGGCAATGTAATGTATTAAAATCTTTCCGGCTTAACCCTCACCTTTCTGAATTCTGGCACCTTGTGACCAAAGTCCATAACGTCATGTGAACCTCTGCAGCACACTTGAAATATACTTTACAACATCAAATTCACTATCAACTTTAAACCTGAAAGAATAAATGTTTCACTTAACTATGAAACTACAATTCACTAGCTGGGCCCACGTCCTCATTTTAGGTTTGACAGCGTTTTAGTAGGTAAAGGTGAATGGCTTTGACATGAATTAAGCTGCAGTTTGGGGAAGGCCTCGAAGGGGACTGGCGATGTCTCCCGGGCCTGGCAGATCCCCATGTACTAAATAAAAGCGAAGAAGTTAAAGAATAGAGAACAAGGAGGGAGGGAGGGTGGGGCACGTAAACGAGAATGATCAGCTTGCAGAACTGGGGGAACCTATATAGATGACAGCCGGAAGGAGCGTGTTTGGAGGCATGGTCCTGCTCCTGAAATTCCGATACATAATCTCCAATAAACTGACAACATTGACAAACATTGATCCCTACTGCAACTCCCAGAAGTGTAACAATGACATCACAATTCTATTCCCCAGCACCTTCCTCTCCTACACGCTCTCTTACGGTGTGTTCACCCCGAACGCGATAGACGCGAACGAAAACGCCCCAAACGGCCCTAATTTGACGCGTGCACATTTGCACCTCAACGCGTGTCCAAGAAAAATCCATCGCGCCTCAAAATTGCATACTTTGACGCGCGTGAACCGGAAATGTGGGAGGGATGTGGGAGGAAGTTGTGCCAGACCGGTATCTTTGTCAGCTGTCGAGCTAGCG